AGAGTCAATTTAGTGACTAATTAGGGGGGAGAACAATAACTAAATACCAACACGGCAAAATTTTACTTTCAAACGGGACAAATTCAGCTTGCATGAAAACACATTTCACTGTCAGGTCTTAATCTTAAATAAAAAAAATAAATAAACTGGACAGATTGGGGAGAGCTGGTTTAATAAGTAACTAAACTGAGCAGGCAGTGGGTTAATATTTTAGCTGGCTGGGAAAATAATTGGGTTACATCTTGCTTTTTGAGTCTGTTTGAAAGGGAAAAAAAGTGCAGTCATTTATCAAAACACAGAATTATGGGGAGTCAGTTTATTCGTTAGCACACTTGGATGAACGATTTAAATCTATCTGTAACGGTGACAAAGTCATTTAGTTTCTAGAACAAATCAGCTTTGGTTAATATTGCAGCAGGGAAAGCACCGCTTAGAAGACGTGAGCCTAAGATCAGGAGCAGATTTAAGAGAGATATATCAACATTTTTTTTCCCCCTCTAACCCCAGCCCATGTGGTGCCCATTGTTTGTTAGTGAATAGCCTGGGAGATCTGACCCTAAATGTTGCAAGAATTTACAATGGGACGTGGTGGGTAGCCAGTTACTCCTGTAGGGTGTTTAGCAAAAGAGGACAAATCACTTTTCAAATGTGATGCAGAGTGTAATGGGGAGCCGTGTCATACAGTGTGGAAATAAACCCAGCCTTGAAATCTTAACTAATTTACAGCGTTAAAATATAGTCCAAAAATAGATTAGAATCCAGAAACACAGATCTGTACGTAGGAGAGGGCTATTTACTAAACTCCGAATAGTAGAAAACAAATACACATGGCAATATTAAAAAAACAAACAAAAAAATGATTTTTTAAGGGGGGGGGGGTGTTTATCACACCTACAGTCACAATTTCGCTGTATTAGTATTACATTTCGCTACGATTCGCAGTTTAGTGAATAAACCCCTTAGTCTGATATAGCACTTAGCAAGTTACTAAATACAAAGTCACGAAGTCATTAAAGACATATAAACTAAAAGTCTATTCTCCTCTCCACTACAGATATCAAACTATTTTAATCATAAGACCAATGAGGATAAAAATAAAACAAATTTGAAAAGAGAAAACAATCAGCTTAGACACTGCTAAAATATATATATATATATATATATATATATATATATATATATCAAATCTCAATAGCGTTATCTTTGTAATTACAGAGTTAAATCAGATAATCACATCAAAAGGTAAATTGGGTGGGTGATTGAAAGCTTGTATAGAACCAACAAACGCCCCCAGGTAAAAAAAAAAAAGAAAAAAAAAAAGAAAAATAGCTAATAAATAAAAGCAAAGATCTAAGAAGTTGTTCGAATGAATGGCACAAGTTAAAAGGTTCGAACTGAAGATTCGAAACCCCGATCTCAGGCGTTCCGACCCATAATGGATGCATTGTACGTACACGAAAAGTTTACATAGAGATATTTATTTTGCTGCAAATAATCTTGATGATCCACAAACCGAAAGCAAACAGCCCTGCATCGTGCCCTGCTCTAGAAATCCGTAGAGATGAGCAAGGATACAAACTTTGTATTTTTTTTTGGATTAGAGAGTTTTACAAATCTACCTGTGTTATGTGGTTACAATGTTGCCCCACGTCTAGAACTCAAGTCGGGGACAGTACAGGTACTAAATCCAAGCCTGATACACTGTAGCCAACTCATCCAGCCCCGTGATCTTGTTCTACTCTATAGATGGTGTATTTACTAAACTCCGATCTGCATCGAATTAAAATCCAAAAGAGCAAAATATAGGCTATAATAGCTGATCTGAGAAAAAAATAAGTCTAACTCTGTTTTAGACTCGTTTAAACCATCAGGGTTACTATTCGTTACAAATCGAAGTTTAGCGAACAATCAAAAAGTGTAAGGAAGAAATAAAAAAAAAAAATCTGGAGTTATTTATTATCAAAAATAGAAGAAATAATAAAAAGTTAAATTTGTTGCAATATTGAGGGGGTACCTGCTGTATGAAGGGGTGATGGAGACAAAGCTGATGATACCCAGTGATGGGATGGTGGGTACTCAGCAGCTGAGAAATGACTTGGATGAGCAGGGTAAAGGGGGTGATAGCAGATGGATAAGGCGATCTGATGATTAGGATGAGGATATCAGAGACTCTTACCATGACTTTCCGGCAAGGCCAGACCGGGGTCCGATTGGAAATGCTGGGGTTTCGCCTGCTTCCTCCGAGACATGCTGGCTCACACATCAGCTGGGGCAGAAGACAAATAATTTACTCCCAAAATGTGCTCCCAATTCCGGGCAGGGAGCCCCAGCCAGCGCGCATGTGTCCTGCCATAATTATGATGATCAATAATGCATTGCGATTAATCATAGGAGAGGGGTGAGTGATGGTAAGGGGGAGGGTGGAGGGGGGCTGGCACATGGCCAGGTCTATTCAAACCAACTCGCCCTAATCAATGAGCCTGTGATTCGCTGGAGGCCCCTGTCTCTCTCAGCTGCCACCCAATGATAAGGGGGCCGGCTTTTAAGGAGGGAGGGAGGAGGCAGGGGCTTGTGTATGGATACAATGTTAACCCTCTTAGCAACCACCAGCCTTCGCTGTAACTATAGGAATGTGTTTGGGGGGCGATCAGAGATTAGTTAAATGTACCCCACCGCCCCCTCCCGCAATTATTCCTCCAGACACCTATTGTAGAGTGCTAGCTCTGTGTTTCAGAGTGTTTTATAGGGAGAAAGTTATTTTTGTCATTGTTGCAGAAGTTCAGACAGTACAGGTTTAACCTATACACCTCTCTAAATCACCCCAACAGGCTGATCGATTCACCCTGGGATATAAATAGCTCTCTATATTGTGTCCTACAGTGATCGAGTACCAGATATGTATCTGCACCAAGCCTGTGATACTCTGCATTCTATGTCCTGTATAGGTGTTCAATGCAGGACTCTTTGTCCTATCACATACATATACATACAAACACAAACAAACAAACAAACAAATCTATGGTTATTATATGATCTCAATGCTGCCAGTTTAACAAACTCCTACATTATACACTATAATAATAAGTACATTTAATATAATAATAAGTACAAAAAAGTCTTTACAGTAGGCTATGGATAAAAAAAATAAAGTGTATGTGTGTATATATACATATAGTTAGATTATATATATATATAAATATATATATATATATATATATATATATATATATATATATATATATATATATATATATATATGATTATATTTGGTATGTACATATAGTTAAATACATAGATATGAATTCTTTTTTTTTTACTTGCACACACACACACACACACACACACACACACACACACACACACACACACACACACACTCTCTCTCTCTCTCTCTCTCTCTCTCTCTCTCTCTCTCTCTCTCTCTCTTTTGTTATGTTCTTTTTAAGCAATTGAACAATGTCATTAACTAGAATCCAATTCTTACAATAATTCCCAGGTTTGTAATTCTTGAAATACCAGGTTTATTTTCCATGTCACTGTAATAATCTGCAGACCATCTCTGGCTGACGTTATTAATGCCATCATAGTGTCTATAGAATAATACGTGGGGTGCTCTGGTATATATTTTATAATATTGTCTGTTTACTTTTCTCGTCACTCATAAAGAAATTGCAAAACCTATCTGGAGCCTTTCCAGCTGTAAAGTTGTGCAGGAAAGCCTCCAGATCTGCCCTACCGCGTGAGGATTGGCTGCAGTAGCGGTCCGTCAAACAGGAGATTTGGTACAGAGAATAGCGGAGTGGGCGGCGCTGCCAAGCTGGCTCTGGAGGAGTAGAGGAGTAAGGGATATTGGGGATGGCGATTTTCTGGAAGAAGCTGATCCACTCTAAAAAGCAAATCAGATCACCTTGGAGGCTCCACGTAACTTCTGCTATCTGTGTTCATCCACCAACTTCCTTATGGTATCAACTCCAGCAGTCCACATGATTCCCAGACCTGACCCTAACACCTCAGTCCTTCAGGATCTCCTGTCTGCTGTTTAGGATTACTGATAATGACCCTAACAGTACAGCTGGGGTGTCTTAATCGTTTTCATTATACCACATTCCAATTATTTGTTTGGATTCTCCATCCCATCATCTGTGCTGCTTATATATATATGCAGTAATCCAGTAATATCAATAATAATATAATAATAATAATACCAATCATTAATTTTATTGTTTTTTTTAACTTATTTTTTTTAGAATTTAGAAAACATTTGTAATTTATTTTAGTAGTTTGCATTCCATTTTAACCATACCTTTTATCGTCTTTTTTTCTTTTCTTTTTAATTTCAAGACAAGTATTACTTTGTAAAATAATGTCCACTGTTCTAAAAACTTTTATAATGGGTGATTATAAAACAGCATGCATTACACCTCTCCCTCTTCTGTGTTTACAGCATGCATGCATTGTATTTTTTTTTTTTTTGTGAATTGAGGATTGAATTGTGTGTAAACTACATTATTGTGTGCTATGTGTCTGACTGAAAGGGAAACTCGGTTGGGGGCTGAATTTGAAGGATGGTCACAATAATCTTTTTCTATAGGTGATACTGAACAAGTAATTATTTTTCACTGAATATTTAAACACATCCTTTGGCAGAGATTGATATAAGGAATTCAAAGTCAAGCAGTTTATGCTGTTGCCCACTCTGTGTATATTTGTTTCTCTCTCCTGTTCTGTAACAAAGTATTTGTACTTTAAAAGTGAGCATACATATCCAACTATGTATAGCATACACACACCACTAAAATATTTTACTAATACTATATAAGTGTATATAGATATTAATTACAATGACAAAATATTAATATTTTAAATGTGAAGTAATGTACACTATTAATAGATTGTAAAACTATATATAATTGTGTGTATTTGTACATTGGTAGATACAGTATGTAATCTAATCTCTCTGAATACAAGTAATATTAAATTGTTTTGTAATTTATTAAATAAGTGTGTAATATAACTTCTAAGCCTAGGAAATCATTACATACAAACTATCAAATTAACTTCTATGCATATGTACATTGTGTGTGTGTGTGTGTGTGTGTGTGTGTGTATGTATATAAATTAAATAAATATATATATAAACGAAGTAAAGAAATTATAGTACAAGGCACTCCAATTTATCCCAATTTTTGGTGCTTCAGCAGCAGGACCTGTTCAACAGAACCCTTGAATATTACAGCAATCAAAAAAATACTCAGCACTCAGCAATATAATTGCATGGTGGTTTATTGTGCCATCAAACGTTTGTGTCGAAAAGTTGCCTTGTTTATGTTTGATAGTGCAATATACCACCATAGAAATTATGATATATATATATATATATATATATATATATATATATATATATGAGTGTTGTGTGTGTGTGTGTATGTATATATGTCTGTACATGCATACATTTTATATACTTGTATATGCACATTCATACACTATATATATGGTAACAATATATATTTGCATGTGCAAAGTGCATATGTATTGATTTAAGTTTCGTAAGGTTGGTAGGTTAAAATATCAATGCTAGGTAGTTCAGAGTACTGTATTACAAACAGTACTCAAGCTGTTGTTTCATATATATTGATATGCCTTTAACAGTCTTTCATACCAGTTTTTTTATTTTAGAACCTGCGGGGCTCCCCTGTTTGAGTCTTTTGAATACTCCATACTGCTGAAAGTTTTATATGCTTTTTTTAATTCATGGGAAGTGGGGGTAGGGCTCTGCATATAAAAGAAGAAGCGGTCATTATTGTTGTTGAAAGAAATCCATCAGTAACACATAATAACGTGTGTCTGGATTAAAAAGAAAATCTGTAAATCTTAATGTAAATGCTTTTCTTCGAATGCTATACTTGTATTTCATATTATCATACTCAGAGTCATACTTTGTGAAATGATACCTTACAATCTTTGATGGTGGGATGATTTATATTCAAAGATTAAGAAAGCTACACAGGTTACACAAGGTGCTCTTAATATAGTCCTGAAAGGATTTAAGCAGCAAAAACCTTATTAAAGCTAATCTAATTTGCTGCCAGAGTGCCAGAGGACTGAGCAATATATTTCTACCCTCTGGCCCTCAAAGGGTTATTTCAAGGCTGTCATGGCCTCTATAATAGCAAAGTATTCAAAGACAGAATATATGGAACTACACAGACATTTCATCCAGAATGGATCTCATCATTGCTCAACCCCTGGCACTCACGGGGTTAAAGTCGAATCTCAACGGCCTGTCTGAGAGCAAAAGTGGTTAATTACAACTGCATGTAACAGATATTTCACCCAAGATAAATCTTGCTATGGATGGTGTAAAATATATTCCTGTATCACACCTTATTATAGGGAATAGTTCATAATTACAGCACAACATCTGCTTTTTTTTCGTACTGGCATCTCTGCTTTTTTTTTTTTCTTTTTCAAAGTGCGAAAAAGAGACTTGTAAACGAATAACGAATAAATAATTTAATATTCAAATGGCAAACTGCTTTTAGGCATTCTGTAAAAAATAATTAACGAATTGATCTCTTAAGTAGCACAAATATACAACTTTTTGTACATGTGTGTATATATATATATATATATATATATATATATATATATATGTATGTTGGTGTGTATCTGCATATGTCTTTTATACATATCAAATACTGTACGTAAACCCCATTATTTTTGCCCAGATTAAGTGTTTTAAAAAAAAAAAAAACACTAAAAAACAATACAATCTCTGAGCTTTGAAATTGCTGTTTACTGGATGAGTGAGTGAGCTGCATCTTATTTAATATATATATATATATATATATATATATATATATATATATATATGCACTTTTACCTCTCCATTTCACATGCATAATGCATCTCTTAATAATTTTCAATCCCACTCACTATTTCTTGTCCTTACAATCTAATCCTGGCTTAAATCCAACCCATGTTGTAGCCACACTTTTGTAGACAATAGCAGTACCTCACCACCCTATTTTAGATTTGTTTCCATATGATCAATACACAGAGTAGAAGCCCCAAATTTAATCCCTAGTCATTATTTCTGACAGCAGATAATTGATCAGAGGTCAAACAAGTGCACATAATTAAATCATAAGTAATATGTGGTGGCTTAAGGCAAGGCTTTAAAACATAACCAAACTGGTGGTAGGGCAAATCACTGTACATTTGATTTCATTTGGTATTTGGTCACTACTTTTAAAACATCGATTGCCAATTTAGGTTTCCTGAAAAATGGTTCAAAATGATTATAAGAAGATTTACTGCTGCCTGTAAATAGGAAGAAAATATAATAAAGCTCTAATATATTGGTTACTTGTCTCAAGATTATATTTCTTGAGATAAAGTGACATTACAGACATTTATAATTTCTACGTTGGCTCTGGAATACTGAGAAAAAAACATTAGCTTCGAAACATAAACGAGTATTTTTTTGTCTACGTACTATGACGTTTTAATGAAAATCTGTATTGCTAATGCTAATTAGAACATTGCTGATTGAAAATGCAAAATGCATTTAAATGTCAAACTGTGAAAGAATGAAAAATGTTAGCTATAAGTGTTTATTTGTCCTTAGTCAAATATATGAAGTTTAAGAGTAAATATATATTTTAAAGCAACTGGATTTTTTTTTGTAATAGGCAGAAAATAATTCACAGATTACAACTGTGATATAGCAGTTTCAATGGTTTAAGAAATAATTTAATGTGGAAAATAAAAACATTTAGAGCGTATGTTTACGTATAATGTTTATAAAAGCTATATTATCAAGAACCAATCCATTTTCATAATTGTTTTTCATCAGTCTCTGAAAATTGTAAATGTTGTACACTCTTTATTAAACTATGGTAGATGAAGTTTTTAATTCCTGCCCAATGTGATATCACTTCCTTCACTTCAGAGAGCCAATCAAATGAGAGTCAAAGCAATTACCTGTGGGAGAGCAAGTTTAACCTTAAGAACCCAGTTACCAAGGCCTTCCCTTTAGTCTAGACTCTAGACTCATTTAGAATCTCGCAGTTATCCAAGACAGTTTTTATACATTTTAGTACACAACTGCAAAATGCTATCCTTTTTCATATTGTGTGTTTACTTCACAATATATTTCTGTTAGTGGTACAATTTACTGCGCGTCAAAGTCATAGAATATGAATATTGGCAATATTTGCAATATAGAAAATTATTTTGTTTAAAGCTAATTTGGCGTATGGCTGATATATCATTATCAAGCTCCATACCTGGGAGAATATTTTTGCTGGTGTTAAATTTTTCTAAATTTGACTATCCTATAGACTGTAATCTTGTTTGAGCAGGGTCCTCTTCAACCCATCGTTCCTGTAAGTTTTCTTGTAATTGTCCTATTTATAGTTAAATCCCCCCCCCCCCATAATATTGTAAAGCGCTACGGAATCTGTTGGCGCTATATAAATCAAACGTCAGAACCTACTGGCTTGCAAAATATGTCAGTCATTTTGACATGTGGGGGGAATATCAACTTGACATTTGGGTCAATAATAATCAAATGTTATCATTATTATAGAGGAGGGCCCACACTGTTCCTGTGTCTCCATCTTCTCCAGTTTGAACTACGTGTCTGTCAGTCCACCCGTTGTACATCGCTGCGGAATCTGTTGGCGCTTTCTAAATATAAATAATAGCGCATAATAATAATTACCTTTCCAGCAGAAGAGTGTTAATAAAAGTTACAGTGAAGTAAATGAAATCTTGTTATGGGAAATGTCCCACAAATAGGGAAGACCCGGATTGTAATAATAAACCAATTTATGTGCAAAACTTCACGACAAATATTTATTTGAAAGCACATCAGTAATAGAATGCTGAAAACACCACCACAAACTATATTTTGCTCTTAATCATAGCTGTTATGAAAAATTAAATACTGTGCATTGTACAGTGTTTCTGCAAGTAAAAATATTTGAAATATTGTATAAAGCAAAGGTTAAATACATTTTAATAAATCTAGTTTGGCAAAGTTTAGGAATTAGGCATCACACATTTTTACTAATAGAATAAGGCTGATAGCTTGATAGTATGCAGGCTAGAAGTCAGCGTACGAGAAAAGCACTTAATACATAATTGTAATTATGATTATTATATTACTGCCATCTTTGGGAAGAGCTCACATTTGTGCTTTTTTGCACTAAAAATCTGTGCTTAGTACTTTACCACAGGGGTGTTGATCTGAAGCTACCAAGAGTTTTATTTGCGGGTAATGAATGGTAGCGAATCGTAATCCAAATATAGAGGACGTTTTGCAGAATTGTTCAAGCTACTTTTCCTTAATCTTTGCAGTTGTGTCTCCAGTTCAGTGCAATTCACTGTTAAATGAATAAACACAAAATATTTTCTTTGACTACAACTCTACAAGGCTCTACAAGCCTGTATGTAAAGAGAGGTATGGGTCTCACAACAGTCCATCAATATGTGGTGTGTGTGTGGACTGTATAACACGCATTTGTTAATTCAGTTTTCACCTGTTGTGAAAGTGTGAGGTATACATAAAATGAAATAAAGCAATCCTAACATCTGAAATTTCGAATGTTTTTATTATGCTAATATATTAAAATAAGCATTTCTGTGTCCAAATTTCACCTCCATAGACCTGGTATGCAAGTCATTCTTATAGATAGCATTACAATATAACTAATTTAATGTCAATTAATTAAATATTCATAGGTGTCTGCTTTTTGAATTTGCATAAAACAAGATTTGGGTTACAATCCTTAAATTGTATGGGCAGTTTTTACATACCTATAGGAAGAGATCAAAACTAGCATACATACATCATCACTGTCTTTACAGTGTACACATACAAAAGGCAGGTAAAAATTTACGTAGTCTAAAAGACAAAAAAAAAAAAAGCATTGTTTGGAGTTGGAATGCTAACTTTTTATTATGGAAATAAAATTATATAGTGTACAGAATCAAAAATTATCCTGTTAAATATTTTTTTTCCGTTAAATTAGTGTTAAAGAGATGGTGGAAGTACATTTTCATTCATTTAGTTTTTCCATTTTTTTTCTCGGTAAGTGATTAGTTTATTTGGGCAACATAAATTACACTTATCTTGAAAATTGCTTTCGGGGAATAATTATATTATGTTTCAGGTTTTTAGGGGTTTTCGTCTATGAATAAAGCTTTTCCTTTATTTATATTTTTAAGTATTCTTTATTTGTGAAAAAAAGGTATTTTGTATCCACAGGACTTGTTTTTTTTTAAATTTACCAGAGCATAAAAAAAATTAACTTTTCATCTTCTAAATAACAGTGGTCTACTATTTTTACCTTTAAAAATACATAACAATATATATGCATTCTTTCCTAACACTCCAATATTATGTTATAGATAGATATATAGAATACTGGTGTATCCATTCTTTGCTAACACTCCACTTTAGAAAATAAATTAATTGAAAATGGCAATACAAATCAATATTGTAGAGTTTATAGAGAAAACAAAGTATTTTTTTTTTCTCTCGCTCTCTCTCTTTTTTAAAGATGCGAGCATAGATGAAGATATGTTATTGTGTATATAGTTCAATGATGGATTACAATTCCTATGATTCTCAGTCACTCTGCATTGTCTAAGTATTTTGGGCATCGTGCTTCTTCATAACAACAGCAGTGTTGGTGTTTTGTCTGTCCCCAGGTTGGCTGGATTGAGAGATTTAAAATAATAAAAGAAAAGGGTTGAAAGATTTTTTTTCTTTCTTTTTACAATTATTGGACTTTTTAGGGGTTAAATATCACAGCTTTATGGCATTTTTTACACTGACGTTCGATTTGCTTTTAAGATTATGGAAGGCACACAGTCTGGCCTTGCTGGGGTAATGATGTTATACAGGAAACATCACATAGCTTTACAGCATATAATTATCACTACTGTGCTGCTTAGCTAAACCCAGTCTCATCCTTTAACTAATCAATGTCAATATTGCAGCGTTAAGCCAGTGTGGTGCTGTGGATATGTCTTAGAAGACTCTGAATGCGGACATTTAGATGCAGCTTATATCTCTTACAATATGTACATAAGTGAAGGCCATTTTGTGTATTTTAAAGGTGTAATGTATTGGAGACTTTACTGGCAGAACATAGATACTTTTAAAAATGTCCTAGTCAACCAACAGGTAGTATTGTGTAACATTGAATAATAGTACGCCTTGCTAAGTTATGTTACAAAGTGGGTTTATTAACCCGTGTCTTATTTTAGACGCTTTGAAGGATCAGTGGGAAGATCTTCACACTCAAAATCCCAGCTGTCTACGGAAAACTAAGAACATGGCAGGCAAAGCATCTCAAAGCCCTTAATTGACCAATCCCACATGGGAAACATGAGTAAAGATGAGCAAATAAAATTCTCAAAGTGTAAATATCAACAATCTCACTAAACTCCTGAGGTACTGAGGTCAATTATTGAAATCGAAACTGTTTGTTCCTCCGGAGGAATGAGGAAATTTACACCAGGCCTTTCGCCGAGTGCTTTTTCGCGTAGGCCTCACTCACACTAAACAAGTAGCTTACTGGAAAACATCTAATTTACATATGGTTTTGCCAATCTAAAAAGAAGCAAGATGTAGCACCTAAACAGACAGCATTTTTTAAATATAGATTTTATGCAATAATGAAACGAGACAGCTGTGCCTATTTACTAATCTAATGATTTTATGTCATTGTTTATAGCACACTGAAAATTGGTGCACATTGAATCCTAAGTGATAATACTTTGAAAGGAAATATCACATAGAGGTTTTCAAATGTAGCAGAAAATTTGAAAGTCCCTGGTCAATTACAATTATTCCCAGTTTAATGAATAAGCCTGCCAGACTTTCCTATTTCTGTAATTCAACAAATTTGGGCCTGCTATTTGCAATTATCACTTTTGTGTGTAGGAATGGACAATTATAAGTTTACGCAAACATATTTAAGAGTATGCCAGAACATTTCAAATAAATGTAGAAATATTACCTAACTTCCCATGGGCCGTGCAAAGATAAAGAAACTTTTGTCTTTAAATGAACACTCCAAGCACCATAACCACTACAGAATGCCATAGTGGACGCAATGAGAGGCACTTGCTAGACCCAACGTAGAACGTCAAACAGTTCTAAAACCATTTGACTATTTACAGTTCATTGCAGTGGTTATGGTGCGTATAGCACGCCATGCACATTATATTCCGTACTATACAAATGGATGCAGATGTTCATATAGCATAACTGCTGGTACCCGAGAGTTCATAACTAGCAACTGGGGGATAATGTCGATCTTATTAGTGACAGTCCCATTTTAATTGTAATTTCACTGCAACGTTGCTTTAAAGACCTAAACCATTTGAATTCTAAATTGTTGTTTGATTACACAGTAAAGAGACAAAGTAACTGCAGAGGCGTATTTTCCTGAAATCCTATGCTACTCTTACCTTTACAGTTAGCAAGGTCACTACGAGTCTATTGACCAAATGAAACAGAAGCTCTATCTGAATGTATATTGTTTTAGTCTACACACGAGATCGAAATGTCTTGAGCCGTGTTGCTGTATCTATACCCTGTTATTTTAACTTTTGCCATAAGGCTAAAGCTATTTTGCGAACTATGGTGTTTATTTGCTAAATTGTGATGAAGTGAAATCTGAACTCTAAAACTTTGGATAAAATAGCTAAATTGAAACTGCTATTTTGGCTTACATTTTGCAATTCTAATTAAAATTCACTTTTCTTAGGAGAAAGTTGTCATATTCTGTTACTGCGCAAACTCGCACAAAAGATATTTAAAATGTAGTTTAAAATGTTTTTTTTTAATTTTTCATTTATACTTGTTTTTTGCCAAGGGCAGGATATCATAAGAAACAACGGGCGGGCTAATTAGACCACTTTTCTTTAAAATAACGTTTAATTTGTGTTAATGCATGCTGAAATACAGACCAATTAATTATTAAAGCCCCTCACTTTTCTTAAATAGATGATGTCATACCTTTTGTTTGGTAGACAAAACATATCAGTATTTGGTGTATACGAATGTGTGTGCGCGCACATATACACATCTTGAATAATGGCATTATTCTATATTTTATTTGTGAGATTATGTCTCTCTTTGTATATCTATTATCGTATTTCCTATCAGCACGAACAATGATCTCTCTGCAGTTTTTGGTGATGAAAGGGTCAACTTGCCTCTTTAGCATCAGTGTGTCCACCTTGAGAAATGATTCTGCTGTGGGCGACTGTTCAAGACATTGTATTGATCTAATGCTTTCTGAGCCTCCCTGGAGCTAGGAATAGGACGGATAAAATGGATGGAACGAGTGTGCCACATCAGGAACCATTCAGCAATATATCTCGCACAATTACTACAGAAGAGGGAGATGCGTGTGTATGTGAATAAATATTTCTGATATTCAACTGTTGAAATGCTTGTAAATCATGTATTCTGCCAGAATATATCCTCTATAAATCACTTTTCTATTTTCTCAAATTTTATTTAAATATTTTACATATCCTGTGCTTTTCTACGTAAAAGAGAGTTTTTAATGTCTTAACAAAATTATTACCGAGCATTGTAATCATAGTTGTCGTGACATACATGTTTAGCTTGTGTAGATTTTAATTATTATTTACAATAAACACATTTAAATACTACATTTTCACTTGTCAGTTATTGGAGTATGTGATTCTTATCTCTGTGGTCCTCTAGTGAGTTGTGTTATTTATTCACTAAAACAGAGAATTGTGGTACACTGAAAATCCTATTGCTAACTTTGGGATCAAATATCAGAGATGTATCTATAGCTGGGTTGAATTTTTTTTGTTTGTTTGTTTTGGCTATTTTAGCCTAAATGTTGCAATTCAATTTTTAATTCACTATAATTTATGGTTTTGTAAAAAGACCGTTATGATAGTAAATCAACATCTTGGGTTTTGAGTGTCGTTTGCATTAGTTTAAAATGTTTAATTGTCATCTTAGAGTAAATTTAATAATATATAAATCCACAATTGTAGTAATAACATAGAAATGAGCACATAAATAATAAAAGCCAACATTTTCATATAATACATGTTGAGATTTTGTGGCTCTGTTTGCTAAATTGCAACATTTATTCCAAAATAGCTGTTCCAAAAATAATAATAATTTGGAGCAGCATTGGCCAGTACTTCTGTTCATGTCTCTACTTTCAGAGCTGGATTACGATTGCGCAATCCCTAGGAAGGATGCCATATTTGACCCTTTCCTAGATCCCTGTACTCCTTTTCTGTGAGTGTTTTGTGTGTGGAGGCTGAGTGTCTGTGTATATTGTGTATGAGAGAATGTGTATAGTGTCAGGTGTGAGTGGAGGAGGCTGAGAGATGTATTAAGGGGAAAGTCATACTTGTGTGTGCTGGTTGTTGCGTGTGTGTGTGTTGGCTGAATTTTGTGTGTGGAATATTGTTTGTGTGTGGAGTGAAATCTGAGTGTGGGCGAGTATTGTCTGTGTTTTGTGGGAGCATGTGCAGTTTGGTTTGTTGGGGCAGGAGGTTGGGGGAGTTGTTGTTTTTTTATTTCCCCCCCTCTGGCTTACTTTTTGGCAGAAGGTTGTGTTGTCCTTAGTTGTCCAGTGAAGGAAATTCCCTGGCGGTACGGCTGGGGAACATTGAGTACTGAGTGCTCTAACAGCTTCCTTGCAGCTTAGTAAGCTTGTTGCGGCATTCAGAGTCGTTGAGAAGCACCACGAATGATCATCTGATAGCAGTGCAGAGCTCAATGCTGCCTCAATGAAGTGAAGGGGTGCAAAGCTAAGTAGGGAGATCAGCTCAGAGAGGCCCCCCTTAGAAACAGAGCAAGGGTCTCATCCTAGGTAATTCAGCTCTGTATGTATTGCCAGAATGTGTCCAGCCTTGTGGCACCAATGTTGGCCATAATTGTGCCTGCCTCCACCTCCATAAGATATGAGGTTGCAATGTCTTTGCCAAGTTAAATAAAACAAACTCTACCTATTCTTCATTTTTTCCCTATCCCTGTTAAAAAAATATATAATAATTTAATTTAATTTAATAGAACTTTGACTGTTGGCTGATGCAAGTGGATCTGACACATGTAAAATAAACATAACAAAACACCAACAGGGTTTTTTACTAAAGTGAGAATTTAAAGTGAATTTCAAATGTAAGGCCTGAGTAGCTAAACTGAAACCATAGCAGACTCGATTAACCCTACAAATGATACATTACAATGCCAACATCTGCAAAAGATCTGCACATACTAATGGCTGTTAAAAAATGGCAGAGTAAATGAGTCCACTGACTGATTATTAGGAAGACTGGGAAATGTGATTGGCTGTTACAGCTGACGAATCAAACCGTACTAAAATAGTTTGACTATTAATTGTGAGCCGCAGCAAGAAACTATTGGCTTTAGTGATTATGATGCTTGCAAACTGAAATCTTCAAAATATGTTTCAAGAGTTTGCTTAGAGTTTGGTACTTAGAAAGAAATGCCAGGCTGAAAACAACCCCCACTTAATGCATTATAATGCCTTAAAGCATAAGAAAAAAACAAACACATAACTAAATAAGATACTCCCCTTTGAAGTTCATGTTGTATATAAAAAATGCATATTTTTCTGTAGAGAACTCTGCCAAGACCTGGAAGTAGCTGGCAACTACTAGTTAAATCTTGGTCAGCAATAGTTATGGAATATGTCATTTAACCCCATTTGTAACCAATGATAGAACTATTCCATTATGGTTGCCCTACCCTATTCCGTGTTGTACAATTTTACCTGCAGGATGGTCTCTGGTGATAGCTGGAAAATGCGGGTATTATTATTCGATACCTGGGGCTCCACTCTGTCAGTTGGGACCAAAATATCTGAGTGCTGAATGGAGCCCTTTAAATGAAGATTTAAATCGCTGCGGCTGCAACCTGATGTGAACAGGGTTAAATCCTTGTTCACACCAGGGAGAGACAGAGACAGAGGCTCCCCTCTGTCAGCTGCAATAAATAAGAAAGATTAAACAAGTAAACTGAAGCTGTTTTGTTAAGGAATTAATACTTGGTAGTAGTTCCATACATGAGTGAAACTGCTACTCAAGCTGATAGTAGCCATGTATCTGCTATCAAATTAATTACAGCATTCTTCCAGTGGTTCCAAATTTTGTACATTGCCATATTTTGGCAGCTCATTTCTTTATTGCAAAACTGGTTAAGTGACCCATTCTAATATATAGTCAACAAAACATATTCACTAGTCTCGTAATCTATTTCATCATGGGCAGAAGCTTGTTGGCCTGATGAAATGATGGGCCTGTTAAACGTGAGGAACCTTTGAAAAGTCATAGGGACCATTTTGTTTGCATTGACCTGGGGGTTCAGGGCCTCTCCTCTTTATATCACTGCCTTAGAATTTGGAAACCTAGGTTCAAAACCCAGTCTGACCCCCTCAACAGTAGTTGTCCTTGGGCAAGACACTTAATGATATATAAGAAAAAAAAAAGAAGAAATATTCAAAGGATAAGAAGCACTCGGTAATTAACAATAAGTGACCCGAGGCATCAAACACTCTAAAGGAGAGAGGATTCCCTGAACACATAAATCAAAAAAAGAAAAAACAGGTTGTGCCAAATGACAAACAAATAATGAGTAAAATAGAAAATTGGGAAAGAAGTCCAATTGGATATAGTCCACAATTTTTTGTATCGAATCATCTTGCTTCAGATGGGACTTGTAGGTAGGTCCATGTGCACATCTTAGAAAGCAGAGAAAACAATAATATACAAGGTGGTTTATGTTCCATATTGTAATCCAGTCTGCATCATTGGTTTAATTTCTCAGCTTTCCTTCGCGTACCCATGGACCCGACTACAAGTCCCATCTGAAACAAGATTATTTGATACAGAAAATTGTGGACTAAATTCGGTTGGAATTTTTTTCATAATTTTCTTTTTTACTCATATCTTGTCTGTCATTAACCTTTTTTTCCTTTTTTAATTTGTTTCTACTTAATGTATCTACCTGCCTCAAATTCTCATAGATTGTAAGCTCAGTTGAATATGGCCTCCTTTACCACTACAATTGTAAACTGCTGCAGAATGTTTGCTCTATATAAATGCTAATGATAATAATTCATGAATGTATCTATAGCAAGGATAGCAGTCTGTCAAATTATGACTGTTTTTCTTACCAAGGCAGGTATTCCTCAGCTATTTAACGGAGCATTTCCAATGTCTGTTACAACATCACATATGAAGCTGGTTAGAATATGTAATATCTTGCAATATTGTCTAAAATAAATTCTAAGGTAGAATTATGTCTCCATAAAAAGGTCATAATGTAAAATTCAAGGTCTTAATTATAGGTCTCCAAAAAAAACGATACACACTAGATTACCATATGAACTAAAAGCAAGCATGAGTTACCCGAATCTCTTGTTCATCTTGTTTCACACAGAATATTTCA